CCCAAGCTGACATACTCACACACACAGCCCCATACTGACATACTCACACACACAGCCCCATACTGACATCCTCACACACACAGCCCCATACTGACATACTCACACACACAGCCCCATACGGACATACTCACACACACAGCCCCATACGGACATACTCACACACACAGCCCCATACGGACATACTCACACACACAGCCCCATACTGACATACTCGCACACACAGCCCACAAGGTCGTCACCACCTTAAAATGTGTTCTGATACCCTGTAAGGGGTGTGCGGGGGGTTAAACATAGGCAGGGCCCTAGTGTGTCTTTAAACAGCACCCTCTGGTGGTGGGTGAGTGCTCTGTCTAAAGAAATGTCCTAAATCTCTCTTCCCTGAGACCCCCCCGCAGCCCAAACTTGTCATTCCATTTCAGAGATGGGGTGTCACATTTCCCGGGCAGTGTCCATGTTTCAAAGCGTTTTGCTTCCAGCCCCCGGACATCCCCTGTCACTCGTACCGTTTACAGTTCACCTGTCACCAGCCGGTCATACTCCTATAGACACGCTTCCATTTATACAGAACCCCCACCCCCGAACCTGGAACCCTGTCGGCTTTTGCTCTTTAAGGGTCCATTGGAACACTTGAAGGTTCTGTAAGTTTGCTTATGGAAGAGTGAAGATTAGAGCGATTAGCAGTAGGTCGTTCTACATGCTTGTCGAGCGCCCTGACCTGCTCTGTTTCCCACCTGCTGGGCCTGTACGTCTTCGTCGTGTTCCGGATTCGGGCTCCGACTTTCCTTTTTTCATCTGCCGGCAACAATGGCTCCTTCCTGGCCCAGCCTTGTGATAATTGGAACCGAAAAGCAGAACCACCCCCGGCCCCATGGGCTGGCAGGAATCGATGAGTCTCAGGCAGAGAAGAAACATGACCATGCCAGGGGGGCGGGGGGCGGGGGGGATGGCCCCACTTGCCTAATCATTGATTGCCTGGGTGTGGTTTAGGAATAGTGGGCGGGGTCAATATTGTGTGGGCGTGTCCTGTCTCTGACCCTATTAAAATGTGTTAAAATGCTGAGGTTAAATGGCTATCTTAGTGCCTTAGCTGCAGTGCTCATTAGAGCCTCCCATCAGGCTCTGCTGTCACCAGTGGGGGTTGGTCAGTGATGGGGGGGGGAGGGGGGCCAGTATGACAGAGGGCCTTGGGGGGGTTGAGGCTGAAACCAGGGAGCCCTTAAACCTGGAGGTGCTCTGAGAGGCTTAGATGCTGTATCTGTCCCTCCACCAGTCAGTGGGCTCATCCTGGACAAATTGGCCACCACTTCAGTGTGGTGGGGGGGGGGTGGGGGTGCCCATGTCCTGGGGGCATTTGACCTTAGAGCCAGTTTTCGTTCTAGTGGCTGTTGGCAAAACCCCAACGAGAGAAGTGGAATCTGGAAAAGAGAAGAATGGGGAGATGGAGAGAGAGGGCAGTGTTGGGGAGAGAGAGGGAGTGGTCGGGATGGAAGAAGGGAGAGATTGTGTGGGGGGGTACATACAGCGAAGACGGAAGGGCAGATAGACACAGACAGGCCGGGCGTGTCCAAGCATGACTTTTGCCATAGAAAGTCCACCCCCCACCAGAGAAACAAACGGCGGAACAATCTTATTAGTCTGGGATTGCGCTTCACTATCAGCCAGACCGGGAGACCCTGTAGATCATCATCAGTATCATCATTACTGTAATTATGTTGTTAGTGTGTATAAAGCGCCTTCAGTGGCTGCAGAGCTGCCTGGGACATGCACACGCACGTGCGTTTCTCTCCCAGTCCTGAACATGATCCCAGCCAATCACTTCCTGCTGGGATCTCACTCTTATTACAGCTGCGATGGCATGTTGGAGCAATAAAGACGAGGTCACGCGGGGTCCTCGGGGGGGGGGGGGGGGTGATTATGATCCGGCCGCTCCCCCAGTCTCGCCGTGAGTTTTCCGTCAGAGGGATGGCTGGGCCTGGCGGCTGGGCCTCAGGTCCTCACCTGCCTCGCGTTTTCCCGCCCATCGTTGATTAACCACGTGCCTCGGCGGCGGTCAGCGAAGTTGTTCCTGAGCCGAACTTCACCGAACGAAACTTCTTGGGACGGCGTGATGAGCTCGGACTGGCATGCCGACGCCGCTTTAATTTAGCCCC